TGCGCTGTTTCTTGCTGGTCATCAGGGTAGGTACACATATATACAAAAAGCACAATCGTACTTCTTCCAATCCAAGTTAAATATTAAAATTACCTCATTTCTATATGCAGTGTCGAGAATTTGAATGAAATAAATTGTATCAAGCTGAGACGTTTGCATCATTGCACATCAGCTGTGCGGATGCTGGAGATTTAAGCGGTTAAGGAGCTTTCAAGATTTTCATCCTTGATAATGTTTGTGACGTTCTCAAGATTATGGATTGCTTTTATCAGTGTCCCGTACCTTTTCCAAGTACTGTTGCATCTTGCTTCGCTTAAGTGTAGTCTAGTCCCAAGCTATTTGATTAACCACGAGTTGCGAAATCAGCTAGTTGAATCGCACTTTGATTTAATGGCCAATCTCGTGCCAAGTTCTAGACCACAATCACAGGCTTCATACTCCGCTTCATTGTTAGTAATGGGAAGTTGACATTTAATAGCTTGCCCTAAGTATGTTTTCAGCCATAGAGCGGGGTGTACTAAAAAAGTTCCGTATCCGCGAGCCTTTTCGTTGAGAGAATGAGCCATCAGCTAAAATAAGGTCCATGTTCCGGATTAGCCCGATTAAGTATTGCAACTTCTTTTTCGCTGCTTGCTAGCTGCATCCCTTGGCCTAAAATCGGCACGAATCATCTAATGATCTGGGATTTTATTGCGCTGTTTCTTAGGTAGGTAATGTTATTTCATATTCACTTAGCTCTATGGCCCTATTAGTAACCGTCCCTGGACATATTCATGTTGTATTGCCAATGTATATTACGACTTAGGGTGGTATGCAGTCAACTTCATGCACTAATGGCGTAATGCATTGAAAATATGGTCTTAACTTCCTAGAATGTTCATGGAGGTTAGTAGCAAGCCGCTAGATTTTTCCAATTGTGGATGCTGTGTCTCTGCATTCTAACAAAGAGATTTACTAACAAAATAGATAGAGATTGTTATAGCCCTCGCTCGTTCACGAACAAAACGCGCTTGACCGCAACATGTCTGACAGACAGCAACGGTAGCATGAAAAGTTTCTTCAGCCAGCTCTTTGTGTTTTCACTAGCAAAGGTGGATTGACAAGTATGGTTTCAAAATCCCCTAAGTGCATGTTGACACCCTTCATCCATTCAAAAATGATCCTGCTTCTTAAGAGCCGAGATAATTTGGAAATCATTTTTCTCTCGATATTTAGAAATGAACCTCCCAAAGATGCGATTCTTCCTGTTAGTCTTTGAACCTCTTTCTTGTTTGAAAAGTATATCAGGGATTTCTTTCAATGCCTTTAGTCTGTGCAGGATCACTTCAATTACCCACGGTTAGGAAAAAACAAGAAACCCTAAATACTTTAGCCTGGAATGTCCACCGAAAATGCACACATTTTCTAGATTCAACTTCATTATTATATTTTCGTAAAATTTTAAACGATATCAGACAGTGCGATATCAGTGATCTTTCTGAATGTTGAGTTTAACTAGATATCATCTATATATGACCTCATGGTTTTACCTAAATGTTCTTGAAACATTGGTGTGACTAACCTGCTGATACGTTGCACCTGCATTCTAAGACCAAAGGGCATTACCTGTATAACATAAGTCCCCCTGTCTATATTATAAAAAGAAGTTTTTTCTTCATCTCCTGGATCCATCTTGATTTGATTATAGCCTGAATATGCATCCAAAAAAACTTAATAGTCCAATGCCTGCAGTAGCATCAATTAACTGATTTATGGCGTAAAGAAAAGAATCTTTTTGGACAGGCTTTATTAAGGTCTGTGTAATCTACACAGACTCGCCACTTACCGTTCTTCTTAGGAACCACTACAGTATTAGCTAACCAGTTAGGATATTTTTACCTCACGAATTGAACCAATTTTTAGCACATTTTGAACTTCCTCTTGAATCACCTTTATTTTTGAAAGTTTCTTGCTTTCTTTTCTTTTGCTTGACGGGAGGATATGATGGATCTTCATTTCAATTTATGAGTCATGACTTCCGGTGTATCCCTGTCATGTCACGAATGGGACCAAGCAAAATATCTGCATTAGCTTTTAAAAATATCATCAATTTACATTTTCCGTCGCGGCTAAGATTAGCTCCTATTGTCACTTTTCTCTCGGGCCAATTATAAATAACACCAAGGCGGGCCTCTAGCTCTTCTTATCGTTGTTTGATGTGTCTAAGTTCTCCTCTGTTGCTTGAATAGGGTATTCAGGGTCCTCGAATCTCACTATCTTTTGCTCTTTGCTCAGGTGATGGTTGACAGCTGTGTTACCCTCACCTAATTTCTATAATGTTATTTGTGTCTTCACCCTTAACATTGAATCTGCAACGGATATTTGCTGCTTCTAGATGTATGTTTGATCGGCCTCTGGATTTGGCGTAATTCCCCCATGGAGAATGGGAAATTTAATAACTTCGAGTGTAAGGTTGAAGGAACAGCTTTCCATGTCAAGAATCCATGGCCATCCAACAGAATCATTATTGTAAGCCATTTCATTTGGTATCTTTACGACGCCTCTGCGAAGTGTACTTAAGTATTGGCTTCCCCTTTTGTTAACAACACTAGAGTTGTCAAATTCCTGGACAAAGTGTCACCCTTTGTAATTAATTTATCCTCCCGCTTGCATCTCGTGCCAATACTCGTACTTATAAATAAATGGTTTGCAGGAACTACCTGGATTCAACCAAAACTCGTGTTTCACGTTAGTGTCATGTACAAGTAAAGATATTACCAGTGCGTCGTTATGCGGAGTTATGAGTCCCTCGGCGTCTTCGTCGTTGAATATAACATTCTCCTCTTCCAGTACATGTCGAGGCCGCTTCCCGTGGGTAATTGTTACTTTTGAAACCTTTTTATATGATACATCGTTGATCTCTTCACCCCCACTTATAACATTGACAGTTCTCTTGGGCGAAGGTGGTTTTGGAGGCTCCTGCCTGTTCTTCATGTATGCTTGTTTACCTTTCTCACTGAATAACTCAGTAAGATACCCCTATTTTAACAAATGATCAACTTCACCTTGTAGAAACCTGCAATCTGCTGTTCTATGCCCGTGATCGTTATGAAATTCGCACCAATGATCAGGGTTTCGTCTGTTCGGATTCGATCGCATTTCCTTTGGCCATCGTACCTTATCTCCCATGCTTCTTAAAACAGCCACGAGTTCAGAGGTGCTTACGTTGAAGTTGTAACCACCGAACCTTGCCTTTAGACTTCCATCATCGTCTCGTGACCCGCGTGTGTTCCGATCATTTCCGAACCTCGATGAGGAGCCTGATTCCCTGTTTCTAGGTTTATGATCGTACCTTTGATTATCTTGCCTTGATCGTGAGTCTTTTCCCGCAGGTCCCATGTATAGCTCGTACCTGATTTTGCCGGATCTCTTTTTATTTTCCACACGCCTTGAGCTTACCTTTTCTTCTGTTTTATGTTGTAAACTAATGTCTTCTTCAATCCTCATCTTTGTACTGTATCTGTTGTAGACATCATTCCACGTTGTTGCTGGGAATTCTCGAAGGCTTTCTTTGAGTCGCCTCGTGGCTTCTGAACTCTTCTCATTCAAATTACTAGCGAAGGCTATGGCTGCCCAATTGTCAGGTACTCGTGGCAGCGTCATTCTTTCCCGTTAAAATCTATCTACGAACTCTCTAAGCAACTCTGAATCTCCTTGCTTGATTTTGAAGATGTCTTCCATTCTCTTTTCAACTTTTTGAGCTCCCGAGTGTGCTTTTATAAATAAATATGCAAGCTCAGCAAACGAATTTATAGAATTTTCAGGTACAAGAGAATACCATGTTAAGGCCCCTTTAGTGAGTGTTTCACCAAATTTCTTGACCAAGACCGACTCAATCTCTTGCTTAGTCAAATCATTGCCCTTAACACCTGTTGTGAATGCAGTAACGTGATCTCGTGGATCTGATGTACCATCGTACTTTGGAATATCAGGCATCTTAAACTTCTTTGGAATTGGGAGGGGGGCAGCACTTGGCTTCCATGGTTGTTGGAAATATTTATCTATATCTACTCCCTTGATCACGGGCGGTACTCCAGGTATTTGTTCTATGCGTTCATTTTGCTCCTTAAGCTGTTTCTGCAAGGTTAGTACTAGATTTTGTAAATTAGAATTAACTGGATTACCTGGGTCTCCCTCTTGTATTTCACTAGGGGTTCCACCACTACCTGAATTAACCAATCCAGAACGAGGATTCTCCAAAGTATTGTTGTTTGGAGTAGATGTGGGTGGAGCAGCAGGTAATTGGCTAACAAAAGCCTGAAGAGCTTTATTGACTTGAGAGGCAATAAATTTTTGCAAAGCCTCATTCATGGTTTCAACATTTTCGAATTGAGCCTGTCCATCTGTGTGAGATCCATCAGGAGTGCCTTCACGAGACTGTATGGGGAACCTCGTGGAGAGCCTCGTGGAGAGTCTCCCTGAAGTTGTTGGATTGTTTGAGTTTCTGGGTTTCCTTGAGTGTTGTCATTGTTGTTTGACATGATTGATGTAATCAAGAAAATCAGGTTGAGGTATGATTGATTATCAGATTTCCGGCAACGGAACCAATTTGTTTAACCAAAAAATAAATTTTTAGTCAAAGCTAGAAATTAGAAGAATCGGGTTACTGATAATCGAAAAAGTAAATAAAGAAAGAAATTTTAGAATAGCCAAGTATGAAAGCTGGTAAATCAGAGTATATTTCAATAGTCACTTGTCCCTCCAGTGATTACATATTTCTCCTTTTATAGGTCCCTTTGGGAATCTTCGGGAATGCACGTTATGCCTAAGTCATAATGAGGCTATTATGAGTGATTAATGACATTAAATGCTACGTTACATAATCATTATATTGAATGTATATATTCCTTAACGGCTCCAGCATTTAATACCCTTTAAATGCCGTATTTGCATCTTTTTCTTTAGCCAGGTTCATTCTTCTCATTGCTCGTATGTAAATAAGCTTAAACAGGAACGGGGCGCTGAGCCTCTCGTCTTGTGCCTCTTTCTACCCGTACCTGTTTATAACTCTTGAACCATTGCAAATTACTACTTATTATCTATTCCACGTGTCAGGACACGTCATCATGTATATATGAATACAAATTTTCCCCAATACAGTAAACCAACATTTTAAACCCCATGTTTAACAGCAATACTTAGATTATAGATTTGAATAAAATGAATAGTAAAGCGGTGTTAATATGAAGGATGAACAGAGACCATGACGTAGTAGTAAGGTTGGAGTTGGACGGTGGCGATTGACGACTGGCGAGGGCAGTGGAGAAAATGTATCGTCCAGAGACTGTGGATCAGGTGGAAAAGAGCTACCGTCTTAAAGCGGATTTGAAGTGTTATTTTCCTACAGACAAAGACAGACCAGGTCGAAAGAAAACAAGAAAATTATCATATTCGTATGAGCAATTAAGTGTTCCAAAAATGCTGATTTCTCAGGCTTTTGGCTCTCCCCATTGTTTTCTCAGGTCCTCTTCCTATTACAGTTACAGACGCAAACCTAGTTCCAGTCCCATTCCCCGTCCTTGTTCCCTTCCCACCTTGGAGAAGTCAGTGCCAACGCGACTAAGACGCTGCGGCGCCAAAAAGCAGAGTGAAGTAGATAGTAGGAATAGTGCAAATAGTGCAAGCACAGCCCCGATTCATCTCAATTGGCCATTAGTGGCACTCTCGCTCTTCGGGACAGGCTTCTTCTTGGGCCCCCTTATTGATGGAATACACTCCGGCGTCAATCTAGTGGTATACCAAAATGGAGCTATTGATGTGGCTTCTCTTCACACAAATATATGGGTAAGCTGCCTTCAATTCCATAGAAGTACGTTTTTCTGGTCTTAATTAATTTGGGGAACTTGTGCTAATTTATCTCATTGATCAGGTTCCGCCTTTGCTTGGATTATTTTACTGCTCTGTGGGTCTGCTGCAACTGCTGCTTGACCACAACGTCTCCTCTCAGCAGCCTCCTGAGGGTAGCCTAGAGATGAGAACCGTTGCTTCCCTCGTGTCATGTAATGATCTTCAGCTCACATTAATAGAATTCATATTCTTGATGTACTAGGAGTAGGGGTGCAAACCTGCGGGTCGGGCCGGTAGGTAAAAATGAATCAAATGTGTGACCCGCCCATATTTGATATGGTCACTGAGCCATATTATCCATAGTGATAGTTGAATACCCAGACAACTTGCCCAATTTTGTGCCATAGCCAAGTGCAGAAATCTGAATAACAATGATCAAGTCTAAAATGTAATCGATTAAAGCAACTTCAGACAAAAGATACCCGTCATTTAGGAGATAAAAGTACATAAACGTCATGCATCAATATTCAATATAAATAAATAATTACTGTGTCCAACCTCGTAGATCAAAACTTGGAAACTCAATTTTGAAACAAACATCAAAATGTAACAGCACCAAATAAACCCACATCAAGAAGTTCATGAGATCTACTCTCGCACACTACAACTCTAATCAACTAATCAGTTTACTCATACATCATACAGTAGATAATCAGTTTGCTCGTACATCTGGATATATACTGCAAGCTAGAAATGAACCTAAAGAATTAAACTATCCTCATAAATTTGCTAAAAGTAATCGCAGAAATAAGAGGGGGTATATATCTAGAGGCTCGGGCGGCAAAACAAACAACTATGTCCAGAAATCAATAACTTAACCAGGGAGTGGAACCACTTGAAAAGGAATAGAACTCAGGTGGTAATTCTACAATTAAAGCAAAGAAGAAAGAGAGAGAAGAGAGTTCGTCCGAAGTAATGCTTCACTGGGAAGAAGGGGAGAGATTTATGGATTTGGAAATTAGGGCTTTCTATTAAAATAGTGGAACTCAGTAGCGAAAGATTCCGAATGTGTTTGAAACCTTTAAAGGGTAAAACTGTATTATCCATATTTTATCCAGTGGTTCCATTTTTCTAATGGATAATATGGAGCTCAGTTATCCAACCCATTAGAAATTGGGTTGGGTTGGGTTGGGTTGGGTTGGGTTGGATGGATAATTGTTTTTTTAACCATTTTGTTAGGTTTTGGGTTAGGAGTATGTAACTTTCTATTTTAATACTAAATGTTTCCAGTGTTACTCAGTGCAGTGGTGATTTTCACTGAGTTGAGCGCTGAAATGTACAAAGCCGGAGTGCCAGACAACGTTGAAGCCTATGTCTTGTTTGCAGGAGCGGAACTCATATGGTTTTTGCTGGATAGAACAAGACTGGGGTTTGCATTAGCCTGTTTTGTAGGTCTTGCCTGCCCACTGGCTGAGATCGATCCCTGCAATGGAGTATGAAATCTCTTTATTGCTCCAAGTCGTTGCTGTTACATTGAACTATTATTTCACCAAATATTGTTTCGATCACTGACTTGAGGATAATTTTCAGATATATGGTTTAATTTGTGGTATTATCCTCAAGCAAACGTCCACATCTTTGGACAGGTACAGTAACTGAAGTGGCATCAGCAACCAAATCCTTACACCTATTTCCCATTCCTCCTGGCACCTTAATTATAACCGGAAGCTAGCTATTTTCAAATCTTATATAGTCGGACCTTTTAACTGTTTGCAGGGGTTAGTCACTTGGACAATCACTTGCTATTTTGTCTACACGCCTTTCTTGAGCTGAAATCATTCATTGCTGCTGCAACTGCTGGAGCCAAGTCTGTTTAGATTCCATCTTTGGCCCGCTTGAGAGGAAACCACGTCCACTTCAACAGGAAATTGGGATGTTCTGACAACTGATCCTCTAGCACCATTACTTAATAAAAGTGACAACCAAGTGGACGACTGAATATATGTAAAGGGATACAATTATTATACTCTGACAATAGATACTTATTGTAAATAATGATCATATATCTACTAGCTATACGAAGTTTCATCAAATGTCTCACTAATACTAGAATGGTAAGGAGTTGTGGCAACTTTGGCACTTTGCTGTAACTGGTGCTCTCTATATAAGATTACATGTTTCGTGTTTACATGAACTAATTGTTGATATACACACACACATCTCCTACATAATGGACAAGTAATTAAGTTGGATTTTCACCTCATCACTGTCCACTTGTAACCCAAAGATAAATTTTGATGAGAATATCGACATCACATCTCAAAACTCAGTGGGAATCAAGCTAGCCAGCAAAGAACATTGACAGTACCTGGAATTTCTCTTTAATTTCTGCTTTGGTACGTATTTAACATTGTGATTGCCAAACTTGATAGTTAAAACTACTTCCTCATTCCTGGCATTCGTTATTCTCAATAACAGCTCTTAACATATCACGCTGAATGAGAATTGTCAGCCTGCAGACATGTGTTCTTTTCAAAGTCAAGCGGCATATTCAAGTTTGTCCGTGAATCTGGCGATGCATCACCATTAAACTCTTTCCTATATTCACTCTCTGAGTTAGAAGCACACACAAGCTCGTAATCGGTCTTTTCATCGTTGGTTGTTTCTACCTATTTGTTGATGGGAAAACTTCAAATTTGCTATTGGACTTTCGGCGGATACTCTCTTTCCTATCTTACCGGATTTCTCTTTTTGGGTGCTTTTTATGCTTAAGTTAGCTGCGCCGAAGAGGTAATTCCTTCCCCTTCTTTCTTTCTCTGTGCTTGAAAAATTCTTCTTAGATTATCATTCTTTTTTAAATTAATTACATGTGTCTTCATTGGTTATTTTAAAATATATAGAGTTGTCTACATGAGGCTCAAGTAACTATTAGATTTAGTAACGCAAGGCGCATAAATATGTAAGTATCACTACTAGAAATCCGGTAAAAAGCGACCACAAAAAGCGATTAAAGTTGGTCGCTTATAGGCCTAAAAGCGACCAAAAAGCGACCAAATATGCCTGGTCGCTATATTGCTGGTCCCTTTACTTTAGGGACCAAAGTTGGTCGCTAAATAGCGACCAACTTTGGTCTCCAAGGTAAAAGGACCAAATATTCCGGGTATTGACTATAGCGACCAACTTTGGTCGCTCTATTATTTTAATAATATAATTTTGGCGACCAAAGTTGGTCTCTTTATGTAAATTATGTTTTTTTTAATTTATTATTAATCATAAAATAGCGACCAACTTTGGTCTGCAAATAAAAATATTATATTTTAAAATCTGGAAAATAGAGACCAAAGTTGGTCGCTACACTATAAATAATTTTTAATTTTTTTTTGAAATTATCGACCAAGGTTGGTCGCTAACTTCATGAATTAATTTTTTTTTTTAGTATTAAGCGACCATCTTTCGTCGCTATATTTCCAGAAATTGTTAATTTTCTGGGAAATGCGACCAAAGTTGGTCGCTTTTAGTGAATTCTGGGTTATATAGCGTCCAACCTTGGTCGCTATTTCCCAGAAAATTGTTTTTTTAATAGAGAAGCGACCAAATAGCGACCAAAGTTGGTCGCTTTTTTGGTATATTGCTGGCAAGAACTGCCTGTTTTGGCAACTACACCACCTGCCAGCTTACCAAAATTCCTAAATAGGCATTTTATGCCAACAACAACAACAACAAGCAACAACAACAACTAAAAGGCAACAACAACAACAACAACAACACAATAACAACATTATAACGAACAAAGTATAAAGTTCAATAGAACTTTATACTTTAAGCTAACCAAACTAATAAGTTAACTGTTATTACAAAACCATTCGAAAACCGATTGTATTTGTCTAGTATAAACTAATAAGTTCAAAGATTGTTCTGTACATTATTATCATCACCGTCTGATGAACTTTCTTCACCATGACGGTATCCAGAATGGGCTATTTGTGGAGGATGGGAAGAACGATCACGGGGAGGACGGGAGGAACGAGCACGGGGAATGCGAGCCTCTGGCGATGACTCACGAGACCGGGGAATCGGAAAACTGCCAGAAGCTAGGAGAGATTTGATCTGCTCTTGCATGCCCTTGTACTGAGCTTGCATGCCAGAGTACTGCATATCTCTAAGCCTTTCTCTCTCCTTGGCGGCTTCTAGCTCGGATGTGAGCTTTTGTACAGTCTCCCGCATAGAGGAGAGGCTCTCCCCATCAAGTTGCTCGGCTTGGGAGGAAGTCCCTATTGCTAGCATTCCACACTTATAGCGATGGAATTTCTTATTAGGAAGCCTGTATACCTTCCCCCATTTTGGACCGCCAGCAGCCTGCGTCCACATTCTCTCAGCATCCTCGTCCGATAGTTGGATTGGCGTGCCCGACTCATTAGGTGGCTGACTGCGTATGAATTGCTCCACTTCAGCTGTGAAGCGACCCTATAAGAAAAATTATATTGAATTACTATTTCAAATTTTATATAAAAGTAAATCCAAATTTTAATGAAAAGTGAAAACTTACATGTACAGTCGAGGCTCGGCCCTCGACCCACCTTTCTTGGTCCGTCTCTTTCTTCTTCTTTACAATATGAGTCTCCTTGAAGAGCTCATCTTGGTTCATCGGACGCCCAACTTTTTTTCCTGAAAACTCATAAATTTTAGTTAATAAACAGAATACATATACTTTCAAAATTAAAATAAATTAAGCAATTACGTACCATTCTTCGTTTTATCGTCCCTAGGCTGATCGCACCTCCAGTGTACAAGGATCTTCCCTTCTCAGATGCCCGGGCTTTCTTTCCTTTTTCGCTCTTTTGTAAGAACTCTGCGGTAAGCCATTGCCTTTGCAAATCATCCCATAAATTCTGAAGCAACCAGCCAGGCTTCTGGTTCAACTTCCTAGCTTTGGAGAAACAATGGGACAACCGCTTTCGAGCTTTTCGATGGAAATTTGCAGCCACTTCCGCGCTATAGCGGTGTTCCCATACACACTTGCTCTGTATTTCAAAAGTCAAGTATTATATGGAAATATCATATTTAGATGAAAATATCATAAAAGTTATATTCGATATATTATACTTAGCTTTTATTAGCTAATAACTATTCAAAAGTTAAGTGCATTAACTGCTTATAATATAGTATATTAGTGCATTAGCTAATATATATATATATATATATATATATTAAAAGCTAAGTATTAATGCGCTTAACTTTTGATTAATTATGTATTAACGCACTAAGCTTTTATCGTATATATATAAAAGCTATATTCGTTATATTAAGCTAAATTCGATTTAATATTAGCTAAATTCGACATAATTCGATATATATAAGCTAAGTTATATTCTATAATACATATTTAGATGGAAATATCATAAATATAAATAATTATACTGCTTAAAAGAATATTTATACCTTAAATTGATTGAAGATTGCCTCCTTCAGCGAGAATAGGAATTCACTCCAAGTCGCATAAGGACCATCATAAAGCTTTCTGGTGGCTTTGGTGATGATCCTTGTAGTAATATTACTAGGGATGAACCTGCAATTTAATAAAAAAATACATTAATATCTTAGTAAAACTGTACAAAACAATAAAAGTAAAAATAAGAAATAACTCTTACCCGTCACCCTCAGGGACTATGATGATCCTGCCATATTCATCATAATGCACCTCCTCGTCATCATCAGCATCATCGTCCGAAGCATGTATATCGGAGGCATGCGTGGAAGTTGTAGGGGGGTCAGAGCTAGTATCTCGCTGGCGAAGGCCTGCAATAGATGGAGTCCCAGATGAAGATGGCTGCGAACCCTAGGACTGCGAGCCCTGGGAGTGTGACATAGCTGTATGGGCTGCAAGTGGACGTGACACTGATAGCTGTGACCCGAGTGGCTGTGGCATGGATGGCTGTGATCCATGTGGATGTGACATGGATCAATGCGATCCATGAGATGCTAATGGATGCGATCCACGTGGTAGTGAGACAGGTGGACTGTATGTAGAACGTACAGTCCTATGGCCCTGTGAAGAAAGATCTGGCGTCTGCACGAAGGTGTAGGGCTGGTGATGCGGTGGCAGATCAGAATAGCTCTGGGGTGGAGGCCCAGACATAGGCATAGGCACAGGCATCTGTGAAGAGGCAGGAAGGGATTGAGTAGTATCTTCTACCCTCCTCTTTGGTTTCCTAGCCTTTTCTCGACCCCGAGAACCAGTAGGATCAATGTTACCTCGACCCTTGCATGTCATCTGCATATTATAATACATAGTTAGATTGAAACATATAAAGAAACTAGCTATAAACGAGAGTTATTAAAGAATCCAACTTTTTAAAGCTCATCGACGTATAGTTCCTCGTCCGAGAATTCTTCTTCCTCACTAGTTTGAGCTTCATCAGTTGATTCTTCTTCCTCGTTTTCTATAATTCTTACTTCATCTATATCAACTTCTTCCAATATGTGTTCAGGATGTTCCAAATCATTTTCTAAAACTTCGTCCTCTATTTGGTGAACACTGGAGCTATCGTTTTGATATGCAACATCTAACACATTCTCGACTACTACCCTACCCATAGGCTTAGTTTTTATTACAACCCACCAATCAGACTTATTCCGCCGTAATGGATAAGGAGCATAATACACTTGCCTAACATTATGTGCAATTATGAAAGAATCATAGCGATCATACTCCCTCGTATGATTAACCTCAATTATGTTGTATTGATTGCGTACTCTTGNTTAAGAATTAGTTAATGTTGGAAATTAATTAGTATAATCTTAGATTTAATTTGGGTCTTTTAGTTTTTGATCTTAAATTCAATAAAATCAGAAAATTCAAAAAAAAAATATATAATAAGTAAAATACAAAAAATAAAATACAAAAGAAGAGAAAGAAGGAAATAAAAAAATGAAACAAAAGTCTGGCCATGTTTGGGCCATTTCCCTGAAAATCCCAGCCCAAAACCCTTAAAATCGGACCAATTGACCGGGCCCAATTCCAAAATACCCAGTCCAGATCTGTGCTCCCCTAAACGACGCCGTTTTGGCATCATTTAATCCTTGTCGTTCATCTCCCATCATCCAACGGCTCTCATCAGTTCAGGTCAATTAATAAAACTGTCCAAAAATT